ATCTACACCATAGTCTCTCTAAAATGCACACAAACCCTGAAGTAACTGAAGGGTTTTTAATACATCCTAATTTTCACTTTATACGACATTAAAGCAACTCATTTGATCATCTACACCATAGTCTCTCTAAAATGCACACAAACCCTGCAGTAACTGAAGGGTTTTTAATACATCCTAATTTTCACTTTATACGTAGTTGAAATCTCTGCTAAAAATGAAAGTTTGGTTAAAATTTTTCACATGGCACTACCAAGTATGGCATCTCAAGAGTTGGAAGATCTATAGTTTGCAAATATTTTCTCCCATTCCATTGGCTGTCTTTCTGCTCTGTTGATTATTTCCTTTGCTTTGCAGAAACTCTTTAGTTTGATATAATCCCATTTATTTTTTCTTCTGTTATATGTGCTTTTGGGGTCCTATTCATAAAGTCTTTGCCCAGTCCTATTACCTGGAGTGTTTCCCCTATGTTTTCCTTTAGTACTTTTATGGTTTCAGATCCAGTATTTAAGACTTTAATCCATTTTAAGTTGATTTTGGTATATGGTAAGAGTTTCATTTTTCTGCATATGGATGTTCAATTTCCCCAGCACCATTTATTGAAGAGGCAGTGTTTTCCCCTATGTATGTTCTTGCTGCCTTTGTCAAAGATCAGTTGGCTGTAAGGATGTGGGTTGATTCCTGGATTTTCTATTCTGTTTCATTAAAGTGTCTGTTTTTCTGCCAGTACCACACTGTTTTATTTACAATAGCTTTGTAATATAATTTGAAGTTAGGTAGTGTTATGCCTTTTGCTTTATTTTTTTTTGCTCAGGATTGCTTTGGCTATTCAGGTTCTTTTGTTGTTCCATATGAATGTTAGGACTGCTTTTTCTATTTCTGTGAAGAATTTCACTGGTATTGTGATGGGATTGCCTTGAATCTGTAGATCACTTTAGGTAGTATGGACATTTTCACGATATTAATTCTTCCCATCCAAAAGCATGGTATGTCTTTCCACTTTTTTGTGTTCTCTTTAATTTCTTTCAGTAGTGTTTTGTAGTTTTCATTGTAGAGATCTTTCACCTCCATGGTTAAATGGATACCTAGGTATTTTATTTTTTTGGTGACTATTGTAAATGGCCTTGCTTTCTTGATTTCTTTTTCTGCTAGTTCGTTATTGGACTATAGAAATGCTATTGACTTTTAGGTGTTGACATTGTATCTTGCAATATTACTGAAATTGTTAATCAGCTCTAAGAGTTTTTTGGTAGAGGCTTTAAATTTTTCTATATATAAGATTAGGCTGTCTGCAAACAAGAACAGTTTGATGTTGTCCTCTCCAATATGGATGCCCTTTATTTCTTTCTCTTGCCTGATTGCTCTGGCTAGTACTTCCAATACTATGTCAAATAGGAGTGGTGAGAGTGGGTGTCTTTTTCTTGTTCTTGTTCTTAAGGGAAAAGCTTTCAGCTTTTCCCCATTCAGGATGATATTGGCAATTGGTTTGTCATAAATGGCTTTTATTGTATTGAGATAATTTCCTTTTATACCTAATTTGCTGAGAATCTTAATCATGAAGCAATGTTGAATTTTGTCAAATGCCTTTTCTGCATCAATTGAGATAATCATATGGTTTTTGTCCTTGGTTTTATTGATGTGGTGTATCACATTCTTTGACTTGTGCATGCTGAAGCAACCCTGCATCCCTGGGATGAATCCCACTTGATCATGGTGTATAATATTTTTAATATGTTGCTGTAATCTGATTGCTAGTATTTTGTTGAGGGTTTTTGCATCTATGTTCATCAAGGATATCAGCCTGTAGTTTTTTTGTTGTTGTTGTTGTATCTTTATCTGATTTTGGTATCAGGGTGATGTGGGCATACATCTGACAAGGGATTAATATCCAGAATATACAAAGAACTCAAACAACTATACAGTTAAAAACCAAATAATTCAATTAAACAATGGGCAAAAGAGATGAACAGACATTTTTCAAAGGAAGACATACAAATGGCCAACAGGTACATGAAAAAATGCTCAGCAACACTAGTCATCAGAGAAATGCACATCAAGACCACATTGAGATATCATCTCACCCAAGTTAGACTTTCCATATTAAAAAGACCAAGAATAACAAGTGCTGTCAAGGATGCAGGAAAAGGGGAACTCTGTTCACACTGTTGTCGGGACTGTAAATTAGCACAGATATTATGAAAAACAATATGGAGGTTTCTCAAACAACTACAGATAGAACTACTGTGTGATTCAGCAATTCCACTACTGCATATATATTCCTAAGGAATGCAAATCATCATCTTGAAGGGATACCTGCACTCCCACATTCATTGCAGCTCTATTTATAATAGCCAAAATATGGAACCAACCTAAGTGTCTATCGACAGATGACTGGATAAGTAAAATATGGTATATATACACAATGGAATACTACTAAACCATAAAAAGAATGAAACTCTGCCATTTTCCACAACATGGATGAGTCTGGAGAAAATTATGTTAAGTGAAATAAGCCAAACAAAGAAACAAATACCACATGGCCGCCAAGACGGAAGAAAGGGAGGGAGAAATGGAGGGAAGGAAAAAGGAAGGAATCAAGGAAAGAAAGAAGGACCACAATAATATGTTGAACTTTCAGAAGGAAAGAACAAACCTAAGGATACTAGAGATGCTGGGGATGGAGGGAGGGAGGCAGGAGGTTTGAGAAGTACGTTAGGTAAAGGGAATAAAGAAATATCACAATTTGTAAGAATGAATACATTAATAATAAATTAAAAATTTAAATAATTTTTAAAAAAGAGTTGTAAGAAAGGGAATTAGAACTGGTTGTTGAGAAAGAAAAAAAAAAAGTAAGTCCTATACAGATTTTTAATTGAATCCCTAGTGTACTATTTTCCTTTTTTTCCCTCATAGTTTATACTATTTAAGGAAGTCCAAAGCAAGGGACTATGTCTCTACTTTTCCACCTCCCAATGAAGAAAAGTCTTGTCCCAAAGAGAACGAAGAAAATGGTTTTTATAACAATTATGATCTTTTTATAAAATCTGCCTCTGTCAATATCAGAATCTACTCTTTACTAGCCATGAAAAGCCAATGGTCTAGAATACTATTTAAGAGAAAAGTGAAGAGAGTTCAAATGTTTTTGATAATAAGGTTGACAGAATAGGATTTTCTTTCTTTTTAAAAATGTTCATGTCATTTTGCTATTTGCACAAAAAAACTTATGAATACATACAGTTTATAACACCATAGTGAGATATGAGACAAATATCATTTTACTGGAGAAGGAAGGAAGTAAGGGTGGGAGAGCAAAGAAGAATGGGAGGAAAGGAGACAGACACAAAGAAAATTAGAAAAAGAGAAAGAAAAGAAAATTTCAGCCAGTAAAATAAATATGGGTTCATCAAATCATTTTGGGAAATCTAGTTCCCAGACAGTGGTTATGATATCGGCATCAGTGTCTACACTCTTAGAGCTCAGCTGCATCTGGTGTTCTACTCCAAATTTCCAAGGCCCAAGCCCGTGAAATCCTCAAACTTTCAGTGTAAGTTTTGAATTTAGGTATGTTTTGGTATAAGGCTACTCTGGGAAGTGAAATTAGAATACAATTCTTATTAGCATAACTGGTATAACACTAATCTTTTACAATTAAAATATGTGGAATATACTAAAAAGCATATGTACTTCACAGGGCCTGGTTTTCCAAAGTCTTGCAGTTTCAAATATTGACCTTGCGGAGGACTGGAAATTTTCCTCAGGCTATAAGTCTCTGGTGTAAGACAAAGATTTGTGGCACAGCAAGGTTGCTGGCTCAAGGACAGACAAGTTACTGATTGTTATGTAAAGATACTGAGAAATTGCTATAAGAAGGAATGTTTGCAAAGATCAAGCTTGTGTTGATAAGATCACTTAATTGTCTACTAGAATGTCATCTGGCTTGTTTCACTGAAAGTTACCAGCCTATACTGTTAAACTATAACCCCACTGATGTCTGTTCCTGTAACTTCCTGGTCTGGAAAATAAATGCAGGAAGAGAACCCCAATTCAGTGTTAATTTCCCGAGGAAGGGATCCCTTTTGCTTGAGGGTTCCAGGGAAATTAACTGCTTCAGGGCTTCTCACTGCTCAGAAGAGACGGGCTTTGAGTAATCCTTTGTGTCTCCATCACCTAGGAGAAGTGGGGTGACAAATCTGTGGGGGGCGAAGCAACACAAAGCAACAAAAATATTCCTAAGTATTGTTTGAATCAAAGCATTAGATATTAGAATTAGAGAATTTAAGTATAATAAAAACTTATGTGGCAGTAATTTAAAAATTATTTTCTAATATGGTGAAATAAATTTTTCGTGCAAAAGAATACATTTCCAACAAATCATTCCTTACACAAATACCTTTAGGAAAGGAGACATAAGAAACAAACAATCTTTTCTTTTTCATTTCCTTTAAGAGTAACTTATGATTACCAGGTGTAAGGTATAATATGTCTAAAAATTGTCTCAGAAAATTCAATAAGTAAAAGGACCAAAGAACCACTGCTATGTTACTGAAACACATTAAAATAAATATTTATATTAAAATCACATTTTATACTAGTAATTGCAAGGAGGAACTGAATAATATGAGAGTTTAATCATAAATACAAAGCTTTAGACACGAGCAAATGGACAACATAAATGCATTTATGAAGCTGGCTTTTAAAAACTAAAATATAACACAATACAGAACATATAAAAATGATAAAAAGAAGCAAAAACTTAAGTGGAAAAGGTGTGCTAATAAAGTGTTTGTCTTTTTGATTTGGAGTTCCCTCCCTCATGTAGATTGCCTCTTAATATGGACTTTATTAAATAAGTGTAGTAATTAAACTATTTACATTAGTTAACAGTGCATGGAATTTTTTAAAACTCATAGATGTTTCTAACACAAATATGCACTAAAGAACACATGTGAAATAAAATATCCACTTTTATAATACAGTCTGTTATAATTCAATCTTAAAGTTACCTTTATCGTCTGTCTGCTTGTCTGAAATCGTTGATCAGATACTTGCTGTTGATGGAGAAGCTTTTCATTGACTTCTTTATATTCTTTAACAGCCAATTCTGCTGCTTTTTTGGCATTCTGAAGTATACTGTTTTGTTGTTGCAAGGAAATAATCCGTTCTCGTAATAAAACGATATTGCTACTTGATTTCTGGGCAGTTATATTTTTGCACTTTTCTCTGTTGACTATGTAAAAATAATGTTGTTCATAATATTTAAAAAATCAGGTTAAATCACAAAAAACACATTGTAAATTTCATATGCATTCTTACCTTTGGTAGAAACTGCTGTATGCGAACTCTTTTGCGTATTACCACTCTTCTGAAAAGTTGTTTTTTTGGTATTCTTGTAATGAAAATAATTTGAAAATTTCATAAAAATTGGATCACTATTCAATAACAATGTCAAGTGAACCAATATAACAAGAAAAATCTCTTTACTTAAAAATATATTTATTTATGCAGAGTTAAAAAAGCTCTAGACAATAAAATTCTATAATTGATAACCAAAAAGTAACAAATGAACTTAACATATGCACTAAAGTTGAACAAGCAGGTAGAAGATACAGACACAAAATCAACTCCAAAGTAGAATATAGTTACAGACTGAGCTCCTTGTTCTACTCTATCCCACTTCTCACTATTGCACTTCACTAGAAAAAAAAAAAGTAGAAATTTAACCTAGAGTCAGTTTAAAAAACAGAAATAAAAGTAAAATATGCATATGTAATAAATTATTCTCTGGGAATCTAGGTCCTTTTCTCAAATACTTTTGCCTATTGCATGTAGACAAATGGAGCTAATAACAAATGAAGCTAATAACCTTCTGACAAATGAAGCAAAAATAATGTTGTTGATATCATAACTTTCCTTGAAGCTGTCTGTATGTTTTCCTCATGACATTCCAATACACTGAGGCTAAATAAAATGAAGCCATATTAACTTTTCTTCCAAAATATTTCACCAATTTAAAAATCCTTTCAAAAAGAAAAACTGTAAATAGAAATATGTTTCAAAAATATTATAAATCCCAGTAATAAAATATGTGGTCTTGTTTAAGAATTTATTGGCTGAGCAACAGGAATATGTTTAATCTGAAAATTATTTTTTAAAAAAAGAACTTTTTCAAAGATCCCAATTCAGGAACAAATAAATAATTATAGTAAAAAGCAGATTCATAATCAAGATGGCGGAATAGACGGTCCCCAGCATCACTTTCTCCCACAAATCAACCAATTTACAACTATAAAAATGTAATAACAGCCAAGCTGGGACCACTGGAGCTCAGAGGAAGAGAAGGAGAGACCTACGGAGTTCATGAAGGGGGAGAAGCCACGATGAGAGAAAGAAAAAACTGCTTGGAGCATTTCAGGTCACGGCCACTTTAAGGCTGGAACTGCTGAGTGCATGGAGCAGGAGCTGGCAGAAGTCACAGCTGTGCCCTTCAGATGGAGTTACTTGGAGGTAGCAGGAGAGAAGAGGACCTTGGTGGCCCCCAGGACAGCAAGACCACTAATAGGGCTCACATGGACCCACACAGGTGCGAGGAACCAGACCAGCTGAAAAAAGAGAGCCATTCAGAGGCCAGTGAGTCATTGCAAGGGACTGGCACAGGGCCCGTCCGACGGGAAGTGTTTGGAGCACAGGCGATGGGGGGAGACGGCCCACTGGGAGAATACTAGGACACAACAAGGACAGCTGACCTGCCCCCAATCAGTGCAGGACCATTCAGAGGAGACTGGTCGGGAATGCAGAATTGCATGGGGTGCAATTTGATGAAAAGATTCAGGCCCAGATCAGAGTTTCTACACAACCCAGGTCACCCTGTCTCTGGAGAGCCGCAAGTACCTATAAGGTTAGCTATTAAAACCTGAGCTGCACAAAAAGTCTTCCCTAGGGAAACAGCAGCAAAGCAGCATTTAGCTCAACCACACAGCTCAAGTACTGGTTCCCACAGGAAGTTCCCCCATTTTAGAAGTAAGCAAAGGACAAAAAATTAGTTCTGGCCCAGGCACACAACAGGGCCCACCAGGGGACCAGAGGCTTGGAGCCAGGGATTGGACCACCTGCCCACAACCACACACACTGCCAGTGCCTTGGGGACCACCCAGGGGCCCAGCGTATGGAGTCAGGGACCCGACACCCTCCGCCAGCACCTTGGGTTCCCACCTGGGGACCCAGGGCATGGAGCTGAGGATCAGACCCCACTCCCCACAACCAGGCACACCACTAGCGCCAAGGAGCATACCAAAAACATCACCTCCATGTGGACGACCCACCACAGCTGTCACAGCTGCTGCAAAAGTGGCTAGACAGCACAACTGCCATACAGATGACCTGCCAGCAACTGGAGTGCATTGACACAAAGAGAGTCACCAGAAGAGACCAAAGAAAAGAATAGGATGTCTTTCTCCACAAAGCCCATTCCAGAGTGACAGAAGAAGCATCTGCTCTATGATAATATTTGGGGACCTGAACACAGCTTTCAGAGTTGGACAGATCATCTAGGCAACAAATCAACAGAGTAACCATTATTATTTCAAAGGGAAAGAAGAAGTCTAGGGTTATCAGTGGTGGGAGGGGGGGTAGGGAGAGATTGGACAAGGGGCATAAAGAAGAAGTACAATTTGTAACAATATACATCCTAGTAATATTGATTTGATCAATATATGTCAACATTGAATCCCAAAATATGTATAATCAATTATGATTCAATACAACCCCCCCCCCAAAAAAACACCCCTCAGGCCCAGACACCAAGTTTCCACACAATCCACGTGTACCAGACCTCAAAAGACCCGGAAATGCTTACAAGGTCAACAATTAAAACCTGAGCTGCACAAATATCCTTCCCCAAGGAATCAGCTGCAAAGCAGCAATTTAGCTCAATCACAGGGCTCAAGGGCTGGTCCCCACAGGAAGTTTCCCCAGTTTAGAACTAAGCAAAGGACAACAAACTTGTTCCAGTACAGAGTTTAAGTAGTGGGGGCAGCTAATAATCCAACACAGAACTGAAAGAAAACACAAAACACCCACAGATCGGAGACAATGTTCTGACATTAACAAGTCACCAACAAAGAACACCTATAAAACCTAGAAGGACTGGAAGCTCCCAGCTCCCAAGCTGGGGATGGGGAGGGCCAAGGGCCTCAGCCATGACCACCTGAGTGGCCATATCCAGTCCAGCAACATACACTGAGCCGCCACCGGAAGCACCCCGGGCTCCTGAGCCGGGGCAGTGGGAGGCCGAGGGCCTCAGCCACACTCCCCCGATATTTGCATCCAGGCCAGTGATGACCACCAGGCCACCATTTGAAGTGCCCTGCGCTCCCAAGCTGGGGTGGTGGGGGTCCAAGGGCCTCAGCCACACCCCTGTGACATCCACGTCCAGTCCAGCAATGACCACAGAGCCACTGCTAGAAGCATCGAGGGCTCCCCTGCTGGAATGAGGGGGGTGCCATGGGCCTCGACAACATATTCTCCTCCTCCCACCATATTCCCCTCCCCTTTCCCCTCTCTCCCCTTGCAACTGCTCCACAACAACATCTTTGAATGTAAAAATAAATAAATAAATTCAATAATAAAAACAAACATAAAAAAATAAATTTGACCCACCGTTACTTTGACAATGAGCCACATATTTTATGTTGATAGATACATAAACTATGCTGTAGTATACATAAGGCATGGACCTAAGGTAATAAAAATGTTTTAATAACACATATACCAGAAACTTGTATCTAAAGGTTTTCATTTAATCTAATTAGTTTCAGAGATTACAAAATCCTAACAATGTTTCATTTCTCACAATATTTTTGAAATACCTCATCTGAACTTATTTTCAAAATCAGAAGGAGGTATATTTTTAAAATATTTCACTGCTTAATTAAAATTCAATTAGTATTTAAGTGTCAGTCACATACTGAGCACTGTAAAAAAATCCAAAACAAAACTACCAATTAAATTACCAATATTTGTCACCAGACTTGGTATCAAATTAACTGGACCAACCATAAAAAAGAATTGGGCTTCCATTTACAGTACAATAACTGATTAGAAATTCATAAAAATTCTCATACTATGAAACAAACACCTATTTTTTTTAACATGGCAAAACATCAAGGGAAATTCTCAGAGGCCAAAAATGAAGTGAAGCAGGAATCCACAGACAAATGAGTAACCAACAAAGTTGCCAGCAAAATGTAGGACAACTGAAAACCCTTGTGGTCTTAAAATTCCATTTAAATAGAAACACAAAATACAGAAGGCAAGAAGGAAAATCTAGCCTCCAACCCAAGATGGGAAATTTGGGGTTACAAAACTAGGATGCTGTGTATATCAACAGTTTGTTTCTTTTTATTGATGAGTAGTATTCGTGGTATGAATGTACCACAACTGAACAGTTCAGCTACTGAAGGAAATTTTGGTTGTTCCCAGTTTTCAGCTATTACAAATAAAACTGCTATAACCACTCACGTATACAGTTTTGTTAACATAATTTTTCATTTCTTTGGGATAAGTGTCCAAGAGTATAATAGCTGGGTTGTATGTTAAGTTCAAGGTATGAGAAATCCAGTTTCTCTGCATCCTTACCAGTATTTGGCATTGTCACTATTTTTTATTTTGGCTGTTTCACTAGAGGTGTATCTCATTATGGTCTTAATCTGATAATGGTTGATGATGCTGAACATCTTTACAATGTGCTAATTACCAAAAAGGATATATAGATGGCTAAAATCTCTGCATGGCTTTTGCCTATTTTCTAACTGGAAAGTTTGATTTTTTTTACTGTTGAGTTTTGAGAGTTGTTCATATATTCAAGATGCGAGTCCTTTTGTCAGATATGTGGTTTGTAAGTATTCCTCTTACTCTGTGGCTTGTCTTTTCATCCTCTAAGTAGGGTCTTTGGCAAAACAAAAGTTAATAATTTTTTTTTCCTTTTTTGTCTTTTTTTACTGACCGGTAACGGGATTGCAACCCTCGGTGTTGCGCCCGCACCGGGGACCGGCAACGGGATCGCAACCCTCGGTGTTGCACCCGCACCATGCTCAGCCAGCGAGCGGGAACCGGTCTCCACATGGGATCCGAACTCTCGGCGGGAGCGCTCCCAAGCGGCGCACTTCTCCAGTGCGCCACCA